GGGGGAGACAGGACGTGACCTGATAGTGGCAGGAATAAACTTTTATTCATCATGGAGACCAGGCGCGTTCAGCCGCATGTGTTGGACCCGGAATCAGACGAGGACTTTGAGGAGGCACGAAGCTCAAGCACCGAGTCCAAATCAAGAACATTACTGATTGGTAAAGTTTTAATAAACACTAGTAGATAAACTTATTGTATCGTGGACACTGCAGTCGGGGTGGAGGCGGTATATATATATATCTATATATATATCTATATATATATATATATATATATATATATTATATATATATATATATATATATATATATATATATATATATATATATATATATATATCCGCCCCAGTCGTCGACCCGATCTCCTCCGCTGATGTTTTATGTCATAAAAACACACTAAGTCTCTCAGTCTGGTCTGACATTGTTTCGGCAAAAGAGCGGGACCGGGCTCTTGTTTCGGGGGCGTCTAAACTCAAATGCAAAGGCTCCAAATAGAGGCGTCAAGGCGTTTTTTGACGCTTTGGTATGAACGGCCCTTTAGGTGAATCTGTCGCGTCATCATTGTAGCAGCTTTAGTTCATTGTCACGTGGGAGGGTGGCAGAAATACTCTGCAATTTGTTAAAAAAAACGCAGAATCAATCTAAAAAAAAACCACTTCAGCGACAAATACAAGTCCCACACATCACTCTTGGATGGTAGAAAGCTCTGAAAAGTTGATTTTGTATGAGACTGGCCCTTTAAAGAGTTATTCAAACCTGTGTGAATGAAACAAACACAACTCCAGGTTTGTTTTTGAGGAGTTAACAACATTCCAACATGACTTAAATCTCTCGAGAGACAGTTTTACGCCATATCAGACCTTTAATAATAAAACCATAAGCGGCTGTCATGTCCTCGCTCATGAGTCTGTCTGAGCTGATTATACTCTCACAGTGTTAAATGAATTCTAATCCTTAAATCCCTCTTGTTTAGCCGCTGCAGAGATAGTGCTAATTAGTCCTGGTCTGGTTCTGAAAGTGCTTGGTCAGAGTCTGCGGAGTCCTCCCTGAACTCCAAACACTCCTCTCAATCTCTCTCTCACTGCTGCTGTTCTGTTTGGTTTTTGTCGGTTTTCACAAATTTGCTGATTATTTGCCCTGCACGTGATTTTTTTCCCACGTCTTTGGGAAAAATGTGTCTCAAAAACTCATTGCGGTGAATAATTATCAAGCTCTGAACGCAAATGGACGACTGCAAAACATTTAGAATGAGACAGATCTGTGTTTCACATTTTTAAGATGGATTCAGGACTGTTAAGTGTGGAATTAATTTTGAGTCAAATAATTCAAAGCTTTAAAAACATCAAGCAAAAAAAAAATCTAACAAAAAAGTAAAATAAAATAAACCAAATGCAGTCAGATTATTTGTGTAATCGTGTAAAATATCTGTCTTTGCCTCTTCCGAAACATTTTGTTGTTTGCTTAGTTTGATGCTTTTTTTTTTTTTTTTTTTTGTTATGATTATTCCAGTTTTCTCGTTTGACTTTTTGGTTCAGTTTTGGCACAAACGTGACAGGTGGGCGGGGCTTTCCATGGTGCAAGTCCAAGCGCCTTCAAGACCGAGACAAGACCGAGTCCAAGCTCCTTGAAGACCAAGACAAGACCGAGTACAAACGCCTTCAAGACCGAGACAAGACCGAGTCCAAGCTCCTTGAAGACCGAGACAAGACCGAGTACAAACGCCTTCAAGACCGAGACAAGACCGAGTACAAACGCCTTCAAGACCGAGACAAAGATTCAACCGAGACAAGTCCAAGACTCCTTCAAGACCGAGACAAGACCGAGTTCAAGACGAGCCTTCAAGACCGAGACAAGACCGAGTTCAAACGCCTTCAAGACCGAGACAAGACAGAGTCCGAGCTCCTTGAAGACCGAGACAAGACCGAGTACAAACGCCTTCAAGACCGAGACAAGACAGAGTTCAAGCTCCTTCAAGACCGAGACAAGTCCAAGTCTAAGCTCCTTCAAGACCGAGACAAGACCGAGTTCAAGACGAGACAAGACAGAGTTCAAGCTCCTTCAAGACCGAGACAAGTCCAAGTCTAAGCTCCTTCAAGACCGAGACAAGACCGAGTACAAACGGATTCGAGACCAAGACAAGACTGAGTCGTTTTTTTTACCCATTACTTCTATCAGGTCTAAACCAGGACTAAACCAGGTCTAAACCAGAGTTGCATAAGTTTCATGTGTTTGTTGTTTCTGTGTTTGTCTCAGATTTGACTCTGGTCGACTCGTGAGTCGAGGACAAAGTTTCAGGATTTTTTCTGTTTTATTCGCAGCGACGTCCCGACCCGAGTGTGGACCAGAGTTTTATTCTGAAAATCTGCTCGCCCTAAAGCAACTTGATATAAAAGAATTGTAAGAACACAGAACTGTGACTGGACTTGACCTGATGTGACGTAAAGACCCGACTCACTGACCTGAGCTGTTAAACACGTCCCTCGAGTCAAATCATCTCAAATAGAAAGAATTCACGTTTTAGTGTCAAATCCAACAACAGAAGCGAACGCTGCCCACAGGGAAATGAACATGTGTTTTTATTTTCATTTTGCGTTGATTCTTTTGAGAACATTTTGTATGTGGAGCGACGACAAAACAAAATCCTGATCCTTCGTTCAACCTCGGTTATGAATTTAAAAAGTCGACGCCAAAGTGAAAGTCTCCAACTGTTCACCAAGAAACACCTTCCACTGCAAAGACCAGACGTGATGTTTCTGTAAAACCACAAGAACAAGAAAGTGCAGCTCAGTCTGTTTGTCTTCTGCTCCTCTACATTAACAAACAGGATTTTGTTTTGTCGTGGCTCCACATACAAAATGTTCTCTGTAAACTCAGGATGATTTCTTAGTCAGACAAATGTTTCCTTTTTGGTTCTTCCTGTGGATCAATCCTGCCCATCACCTTCACCTTTCACTATTTTTCAATTCCGTTGGGAAGAGAAACAGTTTGAACAGAGGTTTGAGTCACACACATCTGATTCACTTTTACATTTATGAAGTTCACAAACTTCCAAAGCCTGTTTCTTGAGTCGTTTTCCGCTGTTTGGATCCAACAACCACAACAATTACGACGTCCGAGTCCCAAAACTAAAATATGACAATATCAGAACCAGAAACAAAAGTGAAATGGTTCAAAAGACTTGAAAAGATCGACTTTGACAAATCAAACATGGAGGTTTGATGCTCACTTTTTCAGAGGATCCTTCCCAGTGTGAATTGACCTGAAGTCCGAGATTCTTGATGCGTGTATTATGCAGTAAAGAAACAAAGTTAAATATTTTTATTGTATTTTAGATTCGATATCCTCCCAGTCGCCTCTTTTCTTTTCTTTACACGCAGGGTTTGAACTCTGGGGCTTCTCACATTTATCTTCTTGATGAAATGGTTTTGTCTTCACAGCTGAGCCGCGTCAGGGTCAAGAAAAGACAAAAGTGCAAAGCAGCGTTCAAAAAGAGGAAAGGCTATTTTAAAAAATCTAGTTAGATTTATTTTGGGTTAATTTTCTGTTGGCTTCATTCACACACGTGTCGTTCAGTCATAGTTTTGATGCTTCAGTGAGAATCTGCAGCGTAAATAATCATGGAAATAAAGAAAACGTGTCCAAACCTCTGACAGGTCGAGTATCGGATCTTTTCAGTCACATGTCGTCACTCCGACACCGACGTCTAATCGTATCAAATGTCCTGCACTCCGACATTGTTTTTTCTTGGACAGAGTTGCCGGAGTTTAGCTTTTTTTTTTTTTTTAATTCAGCTTTTCCGACACACAAGGGAATCATTAAGTTGCAGCGGCGCTTTTTTCAGGACAATATTTTCACGGACTGGTGGGGCAGGAGGTGTGGTGCGTGCGGGATGGTTTAGACCTGGTTTAGATCTGGTTTAGACCTGGTTAAATCCTATTTTAATCCTAGTTTAGACCTGTTTTAGACCTGGTTTTACTCCTGGTTTATTCCTGGTTTTAGTCCTGGTTCAGTCCTGGTTTAGTCCAGGTTTAGATCTGGTTTTAATCCTGATTTTAGTCCTGTTTTAGACCTGGTTTAAACCTGGGATGCACCTAGTTTTAATCCTGGTTTTAGTCCTGGCCTAGACCTCGTTTTAGACCTGGTTTAGCCCTGAATTGGACTTGATTTAGTCCTGGTTTAGTCCTGGTTTTAGTCCTGGTTTAGTCTTGGTTTTAGTCCTGGTTTTAGACCTGGTTTTAGTCCTGGTTTTAGTCCTGGTTTTAGTCCTGGTTTAGTCCTGGTTTTAGACTTGGTTTTAGTCTTGGTTTCAGTCCTGGTTTAGTCCTGTTTTTTGTCCTGGTTTTAGTCCTGGTTTGGACTTGGTTTAGTCCTTGTTTAGTCCTTGTTTAGACCTGGTTTAGACCTGGTTTAGACCTGGTTTAGTCCTGCTTTGAACTTGGTTTAGTCCTTGTTTTATTCCTGTTTTAGTCCTGGTTTAGTCCTGGTTTTTGTCCTGGTTTTAGACTTGGTTTAGTCCTGCTTTGAACTTGGTTTAGTCCTTGTTTTATTCCTGTTTTAGTCCTGGTTTAGTCCTGGTTTTTGTCCTGGTTTTAGTCCTGGTTTTAGTCCTGGTTTGGACTTGGTTTAGTCCTTGTTTAGACCTGGTTTAGACCTGGTTTAGACCTGGTTTAGACCTGGTTTAGACCTGGTTTAATCCTTGTTTTAGTTCTAGGTTAGAGGCGTATGGGAGAAAATCTTTTCTCGGTTCATGTCACAGAAGCAGACTGGTCGACTTTCACCTTCTGCTCGATGGACGTTGAGTTTAGAAAAACACAAATGTTCTTCAAACAAAAGGCAAAAAAGTAAAAAAAAAAAAAAAGATTTAAAAGGTGAAGCTCTAAAAGTGGGTGTGGGGGTCTGTCAGGATAAGTGTTGTACTGGGTCAGGTGGTCGAGCCAGGGTCTGTCCTGTTCCTCTCAGACTAACTCCTTTCTTCTCTTCTCTTCTTTGTGGTTTTCAGGTCTGGAGCTCCTGGCGCTGTACAACCTGCCCCCGGTGCGAGAACCCGCCGTCAGGTTCTACACGGTCAAGGTCCCCCTGAGGGTCCAGAGCAGCGCGGAGGGAGCGGTCAGCGGCCTGGACGGACCCTGGCTCGACCACCTGACCCAGCACTTCACCAGCGGAGCCTCTCTGGTGCACGGGCACTTCCACCTGGGACACAACAGCGGTGAGTCCTGTCACCACGTCCGGACATCAGGAGGAAAAGAGATTCATCCACAGGAAGAACGAAAAAGGAAACATTTGTCTGACTAAGAAATCATCCCGAGTTTACAGAGAACATTTTGTATGTGGAGGCGACGACAAAACAAAATCCCGTTTGTTAATGTAGAGGAGCAGAAGACAAACAGACTGAGCTGCACTTTCTTGTTCTTGTGGTTTTACACAAACATCACGTCTTGGTCTTTGCAGTGGAAGGTGTTTCTTGGTGAACAGTTGGAGACTTTCACTTTGGCAGTTGACTTTTTAAAATTAAATTCAAAACCATGAGGTTAGAAACGAAGGATCGAGATTTAGTTTTTGTCGTGGCTCCACATACAAAATGTTCTCTGTTTAAACTCACAGGATGATTTCTTACTCAGACAAATGTTTCCTTTTTGGTTCTTCCTGTGGATCAATCCTGCCCATCACCTTCACCTTTCACTATTTTTCAATTCCGTTGGGAAGAGAAACAGTTTTGAACGGAGGCTTGAGTCACACACATCTGATTCACTTTTGCATTTATGAAGTTCACAAACACATTTCTCGAGTCGGACTTTCTGCTGTTTGGATCCAACAACCACAACAATTTAACGACGTCCCAATCCCAAAACTAAAATATGACAATATCAGAACCAGAAACAAAAGTGAAATGGTTCAAAAGACTTGAAAAGATCGACTTTATCAATAGACACGTCCCACTGGGAAAACAAACATGGAGGTTTGATGCTCACTTTTTTGTAAAATCCTTCTAGACTAAAACCAGGTCTAAACTAGATCTAAACCAGGACTAAAACCAGGTCCTAAAACTAGATCTAAACCAGGACTAAACCAGGACTAAAACCAGGTCTAAACTAGATGTAAACCAGGACTAAAACCAGGATTAAAACTAGATCTAAACCAGGACTAAAACCAGGTCTAAACCAGGACTAAAACAGGACTAAAACCAGGACTAAAACCAGGTCTAAACTAGATGTAAACCAGGACTAAAACCAGGATTAAAACTAGATCTAAACCAGGACTAAAACCAGGTCTAAACCAGGACTATAACCAGGTCTAAACCAGGACTATAACCAGGTCTAAACCAGGACTAAACCAGGTCTAAACTAGATCTAAACCAGGACTAAAACCAGGACTAAACCAGGACTAAAACCAGGTCTAAACTAGATGTAAACCAGGACTAAACCAGGACTAAAACCAGGTCTAAACCAGGTCTAAACTAGATCTAAACCAGGACTAAATCCTGCTGTGTGGACGTGTCTCCTCTTCTTCTTCGATCAATAATATTTTTAATACGGTTCAGGTTCCTCGTTTTTGTTTCTCTACAGCAAATCAAGTAATCCAAAGTAATCAGATTACATTACTCACTTTAAGTAATTTAATGGATTACGTTACAAACTACATTTTGGGGGATGTAATCTGTAATCTGTAGGGGATTACATTTTAAAATGAGGCGAGTGTTGGTTCTGGTCAGCGCTGGTGCAGATCAGCAGTGTCGGAGTCTGAAGCGGCTGAACTCTGGACGGTAAAGACATAAACGTCTTGTCCCTGTCGTGGTTTGGTATTTGAGCTCCAGGTTTCCGCCGTCATCACCTCGTCTCCGCTCCGTCCTCCCAATCCCACGCTTCACTTCACATCGCAGCTGATCTGGAGTCAGTGTAAACAGCAGTGTGTGAGCTGTGAGACGTTCACTGTCCCACGTGAACGACGGCGCCGGTGTTTACAGACGAAGTCAATCTGATGAAAAAACAAAAGAGGAAGAACGTGTCTGTGCTCAGGATGTTACTGCCTGGAATGTTCCACAGTGCGACATTAACAGTGTTGGGAAGGTTCTTTTAAAATGTAATCCCCTACAGATTACAGATTACACACACCAAGATGTAGTTTGTAACAGAATCCATTAAATTACTTAAAGTGAGTAATGTAATCTGATTACTTTGGATTACTTGATTTGTTGTAGAGAAACAAAGACGAGGAAATTGTAACATCAGATGTTTTGGTAAAAGAAAATGAAAAAGTTCAGATTTTACTGAACCAAATTAAAAATATTTTTGATAGAAGATGGACGGTCCACATGGCAGGACTGTTAAATCTTGTTTTAGACCTGGTTTAGTCCTGGTTTAGTCCTGGTTTAGTCCTGGTTTAGTCCTGGTTTAGTCCTGGTTTAGACCTGGTTTTAGACCTGGTTTAGACCTGGATTAGACCTGGATTAGACCTGGTTTAGTCCTGGTTTAGACCTGGATTAGACCTGGTTTAGTCCTGGTTTAGACCTGGTTTAGTCCTGGTTTAGATCTGGTTTAGTCCTGGTTTTAGACCTGGTTTAGACCTGGATTAGACCTGGTTTAGACCTGGTTTTAGACCTGGTTTTAGACCTGGTTTTAGACCTGGTTTATTAGACCTGGTTTAGTCCTGGTTTTAGACCTGGTTTAGTCCTGGTTTTAGACCTGGATTAGACCTGGTTTAGTCCTGGTTTAGACCTGGTTTTAGTCCAGGTTTAGTGTCCGGCAATGAGTGGAATTACTGGAAAAAAAAAAAAAAAAGGATTTAGCCCAAAATGTGAAAACAGTTAAATCCCTCTGTTTAATCCATTTACTTCAACAAAGTAACTGTAATCCAATTACCACTCACTGAAACAGTAACTGTAACTGAATACAGTTACTCATCAGTTGTACTCTGATTACATAAGTCCAGTACATGTAATCTGTTACTCCCCGACGCTGCCCACAGTACGACATTAAACACGTCTGTCGTCATGGAGACAGGCAGGTGAGTCAGATCTGTGGAGAGGCGACTCCGCTCACTCTAACAACTGTTGGTTTTTCTGCGACTAAAACACCTGTAATCGAATAAAGAGAAACCGTCCGTCCACAAACCACATCAGACTGAAGTGATTGAATCATGTGAATCTCATGTTCGGATCATCAGAGGAATTTACACAATTTAATAAAGGAAACTGAGGAAGATGAACTTTTACCGTCTAAAAACATGAAAAACAGAACTAGTTCATTTGAAACAGTTTGTGCTCCAGAGTTCTCATGAGATAGATTTTTAATTTTAATTCTACAATTACACAGAAAACCATTAACCCGAAGTTCAGCAAATCTACAGCAGGACACTTCTGACTGTTTTGAAAAGGGTCCTTCTGTCTCCCCCTGTCTCCTTCTGTCTCCTCCTGTCTCCTTCTGTCTCCTCCTCTCTTCTCCTCTCTCCTTCTGTCTCCTCCTCTCTCCTTCTATCTCCTCCTCTCTCGTTCTATCTCCTTCTGTCTCCTCCTGTCTCCTCCTATCTCCTTCTGTCTCCTCCTCTCTCCTTCTGTCTCCTCCTCTCTCCTTCTATCTCCTTCTATCTCCTCCTGTCTCCTCTCCTGTCTCCTTCTGTCTCCTCCTCTCTCCTTCTGTCTCCTCCTGTCTCCTCCTGTCTCCTCCTGTCTCCTTCTGTCTCCTTCTGTCTCCTTCTGTCTCCTTCTGTCTCCTTCTGTCTCCTCCTGTCTCCTCCTCTCTCCTTCTGTCTCCTCCTGTCTCCTCCTGTCTCCTTCTGTCTCCTCCTGTCTCCTTCTGTCTCCTCCTCTCTCCTTCTGTCTCCTCCTGTCTCCTCCTGTCTCCTCCTGTCTCCTTCTGTCTCCTCCTGTCTCCTTCTGTCTCCTCCTCTCTCCTTCTGTCTCCTCCTGTCTCCTCCTGTCCTCCTCTGTCTCCTCCTCTCTCTTTCTATCTCCTCCTGTCTCCTTCTATCTCCTCCTGTCTCCTTCTGTCTCCTTCTGTCTCCTTGTCTCCTCTGTCTCCTCCTGTCTCCTCTGTCTCCTCTGTCTCCTCCTTCTCTCTCCTCCCTGTCTCCTTCTGTCTCCTCCTGTCTCCTCCTGTCTCCTCCTGTCTCCTCCTGTCTCCTCCTGTCTCCTCCTCCTCCTGTCTCCTTCTGTCTCCTTCTGTCTCCTCCTCTCTCCTTCTGTCTCCTCCTGTCTCCTTCTGTCTCCTTCTGTCTCCTCCTGTCTCCTTCTGTCTCCTCCTGTCTCCTCCTGTCTCCTTCTGTCTCCTCTCTGTCTCCTCCTCTCTCCTTCTGTCTCCTCCTCTCTCCTCCTGTCTCCTCCTGTCTCCTTCTGTCTCCTTCTGTCTCCTCCTGTCTCCTCCTGTCTCCTCCTTCTGTCTCCTCCTGTCTCCTCCTGTCTCCTCCTGTCTCCTTCTGTCTCCTCCTGTCTCCTTCTGTCTCCTCCTCTGTCTCTCCTTCTGTCTCCTTCTGTCTCCTCCTCTCTCTCTTCTGTCTCCTCCTGTCTCCTCCTCCTCTCCTCCTCTCTCCTCCTGTCTCCTTCTGTCTCCTTCTGTCTCCTCCTCTCTCCTCCTGTCTCCTTCTGTCTCCTTCTGTCTCCTTCTGTCTCCTCCTCTCTCCTTCTGTCTCCTTCTGTCTCCTCCTCTCTCCTCCTATCTCCTCCTCCTGTCTCCTTCTGTCTCCTTCTGTCTCTCCTCTCTGTCTCCTTCTGTCTCCTCCTGTCTCCTCCTCTCTCCTCCTCTCTCCTCCTGTCTCCTTCTGTCTCCTTCTGTCTCCTCCTGTCTCCTCCTGTCTCCTTCTGTCTCCTTCTGTCTCCTTCTGTCTCCTCCTCTCTCCTTCTGTCTCCTTCTGTCTGTCTCCTCCTCTCTCCTCCTTTCTCCTCCTGTCTCCTTCTATCTCCTCCTGTCTCCTTCTGTCTCCTCTGTTCTCCTTCTGTCTCCTCCTCTCTCCTCCTATCTCCTCCTGTCTCCTTCTGTCTCCTTCTGTCTCTCTCCTGTCTCCTTCTGTCTCCTCCTGTCTCCTTCTGTCTCCTCCTGTCTCCTTCTATCTCCTCCTGTCTCCTTCTGTCTCCTTCTGTCTCCTCCTGTCTCCTTCTGTCTCCTCCTGTCTCCTTCTGTCTCCTCCTATCTCCTCCTGTCTCCTTCTATCTCCTCCTGTCTCTTCTGTCTCCTCCTCTCTCCTCCTGTCTCCTTCTGTCTCCTCCTGTCTCCTTCTGTCTCCTTCTGTCTCCTCCTGTCTCCTTCTGTCTCCTTCTGTCTCCTTCTGTCTCCTCCTGTCTCCTCCTGTCTCCTCCTCTCTCCTTCTGTCTCACACTTGTCCTTGTGTCTCCTCAGATCTTCAGTCCAGGACCTTGGAGAGTGTGTTCATCTTCCAGGAGCCGGCAGAAGCTGAGGCGAGCGCTCAGGCCTACGACGCCATCGTGGTGGAGCAGTGGACCGTCATCCACGTGAGTGCAGAACCTTCTCACGCAGAGCAAAGGCTTCATGTAGACTGTCATCCTCATGAGTGCAGCACGGACCCATGCGCTCCAGACTCTGAAACAGAGCGGACATTTGCGCTCAGATCGCGCCATTTTCCTTTTCTCCAGACACGGCGGGACATGGTGGTGCCCGAAGATGCCAGATCGGGGCTGAGAGGGGCTCCTCAAGGCCCGTCCGTAGACACCAGTGTCTGCGCTCGTCACGTAATAACCTGCGTCATCAGTGACTCATCAGGGCTGTTAGTCCAACACGAAAACTCAAATGTCCTGCCCACTGTGTTTACGCACTTTCTTCTCCGGTTTTATTTTCTAAATTGTTGATACACGTTGAATTCGCAGTGTCGTGAATGTGGGTAGATCGTCGTGTTGTAGTAGTTGAGACCAGTGTTTCTCGAGGCCTTGAGATCATTTTTTTACCGTCTTGGTCTCATCTCGGACTCGACCGTGTTTGGACTCGGTCTTGATGGCGCTTGGACTTGGTCTTGTGTCGGACTCGAGGTCTGTGGGCAGGACAGGTTAAACTTTTTAAAACATCCTACGTGTCCATGTGCCTCACGTCAGCTCCTCGCACACACAGGTTCCTCCTCGATGCACTGATTAGAAGAGCAAGACGAAATGTGAAGCAACAACGAATCTAAATTTATGTTTCGGTGTTGGCACAGAGCAGGTCTACAGTGACGTGGATGAAGTTTGCCAAATTAAAGTGCACAAATGCATCTGTATTTGTCACTGTGTGTGTTGGTAAATGTGCAGAGGCACCGGCCACTGCAAAACCAAGAAGAGAATTTAACTCCAATTAGAAACTTGAAAAAACATTCTTTCACTTTCTTCAGTTTCTTCAGAAGAGCTTCTCAAACTGTGGGTGAGGATCCAAAAAAAAGGGTCTCGTTTAAGTGCAGAATAATAATAATAATAATAATGATGCATCAGTTTTATGTAGCGCTTTTTTTTTTGGACACTCAAAGACACTTTGCTTGGCTTTTTTAAGCTTAAATGAACATTTATCAGATAAAGTGGAAAAAGATCTATAAAAAAGTTATTTATGTGGGTGTGATCAGCTTTTTCCCAGATGAAGATCATTAAGTCTCAAGTCACATTGTTTACAATGTGTATGTAGTATATATGATTATTGTTTCTCTCTTAGCACAAACTCGAAATAAAAACGAATCAATCAATCAGTCAAAAGTCCAAACCCCGTTCCACCATGACTGATTCTCAAAACATTTATAAATAAATAAATGATTTGCATTTTTGTAGTAAGTCGATCATTTTGACTTGGTCGTTTTATAAGTGGCTCACATGCTGATAAAGTGTGAACACTCCTGGTCCAAATGTAAAGAAACGCTCTGCTCTAGTGTGATGTGCTGCTGTCCATCGGAGCCACTGCAGCGTTTTGTTGCGATGACGTTTACGGCTCCTAACGAATCCTTTTGGGCTCCAACATGGAACTTAGTCTACATTCACACTGCAGCCTGAAGTGACAAAATCTGATTTTTTTTGGCTCCTATGTTCCTGTATCGGATCTTTTATTGACAGTCTGAACCACACAGATCAGATTTTTTCAAATGTGACCCAGGACACTTGGATCTGTGCTCCTGAAACTGATCCATATCTGATCTTCATGTGACTTCAGTCTGAACGGACAAAGTGCATTCATCCACTTACACGTTATCAACAAGACACAAACGTTCTTCTCGTCAGACGAAAATTGAAAATCGCTCTCCCACCGCTCTTGGCTCCGTCTCCACATCCACACGTTCCTTTCAACGTTCTGTCCCACAAAACACCACGACCAAAAACCTGGTCCTTCTCCTTCTCAATCTCCTCCTTAAAACAAGTCAGTTGTTCATGTTGTGGCTCCGGTACGAGAGGAACTTTAAAATCTCCAGGTGCTCGATGCTGCGTCCATGTTTGGACAACTTGTGTAAACACAGAGACGCTCGCTGCGGTTGACGTCGTCGTGTCTCCAGTGTCACATGTGGGACACTTTTGGGCCGTTTAATGTTCACACTGGAGTCACATACAAGTCACATTTAACTGGAAATGTGAACGACCTCGAAAAAACATCATTTCACAAAAAAATCCGAATTGAGCGTTAAACCCTGCAGTCTGAACGTAGACTTTGACTTGTTTCTTTTATTAAGTCATTTTAGATCAATATTGTAATTTACAACGTTCAGAATATGACATAAAAATCCACTGGTGTCATAAATTCTAAGTATAACCGACACAAACCCAACAGGTCTTCTTCTTGTTTCTTTAAAAAGCCTTTTCAGACAGAAGTGAAGCAGAGCCTCTCGTCCCAAACATGACACAGACACATCAGGCTCTTTGCTCTCAGATAATTCGATTCCTTGTTGCTGATGTTGTCACAGAGAGCTGCTTTTAGTCTTTTAGTCTTGAAAAAACTGCTTGTTTACAGGAAAATGTCCGGTGCCCTGAAATCATCAGACTTATTGAATTGAGAAACTTTCCAGACGGAGGCAGGTGTAATTTATATCCTACTATTTTTTATGAACTTGAATGAATTTTCTGTTCAATTATTTTTTGTAGAGCCGAAATCACGATCTGAATGAGAAATTTGCACATCAATTTCTGGAAAACGGAGGAGAGGGAGCAGCCCAAGAACATTTCACCTGCAAATTGGGGATTTTGTTCTTTTGTAAAAACATCAGAGCCCAAAATCTTCACAAAACGGAGAATTTAATCAACAGAAAGTTAGAAAATCAAACCGACTTTGTTCAATAACAGATGAACCAACCTTCAGAGGAAACAGGGAAATGAAGAACTGCCCCAGAGCGCCCCCTGGCCTCACACAAGCCCATCAAATCTCTCTTTGATTATTGGCGGAAAAAGTCGACCGAGCAACGATTCTGAGTCAGAATCCAAGAAGCTCCGCCCACTGTGACGTGTAAATATGAAGTGTTTTCATTGTGTTTGGAAACTGGTGTTTCAGTCACTCATATTACTGCAGTACTTTACCACGTCTGTACTACTGCAGTACTTTACCACGTCTGTACTACTGCAGTACTTTACCACGTCTGTACTACTGCAGTACTTTACCACGTCTGTCTGTACTACTGCAGTACTTTACCACGTCTGTACTACTGCAGTACTTTACCACGTCTGTACTACTGCAGTACTTTACCACGTCTGTACTACTGCAGTACTTTACCACGTCTGTACTACTGCAGTACTTTACCATCTGTACTGTACTCACTGCAGTACTTTACTCTGTACTGCAGTACTGTACTGCACTACTGCAGTACTTTACTGCGTCTGTACTTACTGCACTGCAGTACTTTACTGCGTCTGTACTGCACTGCAGTACTTTACTGCGTCTGTACTCTGCACTGCAGTACTTTACTGTACTACTGCAGTACTTTACTGTCTGTATACTGCAGTACTTTACCATTTACTGCGTACTTTACTACTTACTGCAGTACTTTACTTTACTGCAGTACTGTCTGTATTACTGCAGTACTTTACTGCGTCTGTATCACTGCAGTACTTTACTGCGTCTGTATTACTGCAGTACTTTACTGCAGTACTTTACTGCGTCTCTGTATCACTGCAGTACTTTACTGCGTCTGTACTACTGCGTCTGTATTACTGCAGTACTTTACTGCGTCTGTATTACTGCAGTACTTTACTGCGTCTGTATTACTGCAGTACTTCGTCGTGTTGTGGTGAGGCCAATATTGAACAAATACTTGATTTTACGGGTGACTGACAGGGGAAACCTTAAAAAAACGCTTCAAGCTCAGACGTGAGGTCAAATCCAGGTCCAAGTGGGAGTCGGAAGAAAATCAAACGCAGTGTTGGTCCAGGGGTGGGACTTCCTCAAAGTTCTGGAGTAACCAAACACCAAACTACCCACTTCTAAACACTGTCTTCCACCTGAGCTGCCAGGTCTAAAAACAGACTGCTGACAAAGTTTAATTCAGACCTAAAATTACATATATAAAAAAAAAAGATTCAGAAAATGTCATTGATCTCAGGACAATTCATTTGCAGCATTCTCAATAATAATAATAATAATAATAATAATAATACATTGGACTTATGTAGTGCTTTTTTGGACTCTCAAAGATGCTTTACAGACAAATAAAAAGTAACACTTTTTTAAAGAAAACGGGGGAATCATGGGGGCAATGCCACTTTAGCAGCATCAAGCACCTGGAGATTTTAAAGTTCCTCTCGTACCAGAGCCAGAACATGAACAACTGACTTGTTTTAAGGAGGAGATTGAGAAGGAGAAGGACCAGGTTTTTGGTGGTGGTGTTTTGTGGTGAGTGGAGATGTGCTTCACTTCAGTCACATGGATCATGAACAGTTTTCACCTACTTCAGTGCAGAATAGTGACGTTTGTGTCTTGTTGATAACGTGTAGGTGGATGAATGCACTTTGACCGTTCAGACTGAAGTCACATGTTCAAAAGATCAGATATGTATCAGTTTCAGGAGCACAGATCCAAGTGTCCTGGGTCACATTTGAAAAAAATCGGATCTGTGTGGTTCAGACTGACATTAAAAGATCAGATACAGGAACATAGAGACAAAAAATCTGATTTGGGTCACTTCAGGCTGCAGTTTGAACACAGCCCAAGTTCCTGATGGATTGTGGGAGTGAGTTTCAGAGGGCGGGGGCCCAGAGCAGTTCACACAAACACAGTGTGAGTCTGTTACAGTCCACAAGTGGAACTACACAGAACAATATATATTTTACAATACAAAACTTTCAAAAAACACTACCATCAGAATTAAGCAATTTTATAGCAGAGAAAAGAATTTGAGCAGTGATTTGTCTTTCGTACTGGAGCATAAACCCGACTCCCTGAAGGCATCGTGATGAAGTCAGGAGCCGGAGGATGGAGGAGCTGAGCCAGGAGACACTTCTTCACAGAGAACGCAGCTCCTTCAGTTTGACACCAGTTTTTCTTCCCCCTGATGCGTCTGAGGCTCGATTTTATGCCAAACGACAGACTTCTCCCTTTCCCCCCTTCAGGTTAAACGTTCTGTATTACACAAAATTGACTCTTGTGATGAGCTCCAAGTCATGTTCTAATGTGTTTACCTCCTCAAAAACAAACCTGGAGTTGTGTTAATCAAATCGATTTAAAATTTTTTCTTCAGGATCATAACATGAGTTGAGTTTGTTGTGTGACTCATGTGTCTCGTTGTTTCCTTTAAGTTTTGTTCTTTCTTCTCTTGATCGTTGTGGATAAATTCTTCATGTTAGAATGTTTCTCCTTTGTGGAGTTTGAGTCGGTTGAAGATTTGGTGATGGAGCAGATTTATGAAACTGCTGGAGAATACGATGCACATTTACACAGAAAACCATTAACCGGCAGTTCCACAAACCTCCTGAGGGACACTTCCGGCCGTTGTGTAAAAGTTCTGTTAGTAGTGGTGAAGAAGAGGAGGTGGAGAGTCTGAGGAGGCTGATGTTTCTGCTGCTGTAGTGAACACTCTTTCTCTTTCCTCAGGGGCTCCAGGTGAAGGCGGATTACGTCCCTCTGCTTCAGTCCTTGGCCTCGTTCGGCTGGAGACTCACCTGTGTCCTGCCCACCCCCGTCGTCAGGAGCAACAGGTACTACCCACAATGCACCTGGAGAAACTCAAACATATATTTATCTACACACAATGTTGGGAAGTTTACTTTTAAAATGTAATCCCCTACAGATGACAGATTACACACCCCAGAATGTAGTTTGTAACGTAATCCATTTAATTACTTTAAGTGAGTAAAGTATTATTGTATTGTCATGTTTTTTAAAACTACATGAATGAACCAACCACATCCTGAAAATTCCTGTTTGTTCTCTTCAAGTCGTCTGAGCCCAAGTCTCCGTGAGCAGCTCATTTTTTGCTGTAGAGAAGAAAAGACGAGGAAATCTTCACAAGCCCAGTCTTTCCTGAACCGTATTAAAAATATTATTGACAGAGAAATGATTTGTACATGAGATCACTGCTGCCTTCAGTTATGTCCACCTGCTGTTAGTGTCATTTTGTTTTTTGTTTTTTTAAATAAAAAAATAAATCACTTTCAGTAGAAACATAAAGGTGCCAGCTCAGTAAAAATCTGTAATATTTGATGTTTTTTACTCAAAATGATGTGGTTGGTTCAAATGGTTCAAAAATAACAAATTATCTCTTAATATCAAAAAAACTAATTATATGATTTTTTGTGGTAAAAAATCATTTCTGACTAATCCTAAAATCAAAATTGATTCAATTGAAATAACTCGTGTCTCATCCACCAAATTTTTGGGCGTCATTATTGATGATGATCTGTATTGGAAAGAGCAGTTGACTGGGTGACTAGAAAAATTAACAAATCTCTTGGTGTTATAAGAAAAGTTTGCACGTTTCTGGACTCAAATTCTATACTTACATTATATTATAGTTTAATTTATCCCTATCTGTCATATTGTAATATAATCTCTACGACTCTGAACAAAATATTATTGGTGCAAAAACGTTTTGTTCGAATTGCAACTCATTCTACGCCACTAACATCGTCTGCTCATTTATTTACTAAACTTAACATTCTTAATATTTATGAGATTAATATTTATCAAATTTGTATTTTTATGTATAAAATTCTTTACAATTCAACAACGATCCCCGAACATTTCACATCTTATTTTAAAACTAATGCAGAGATTCATAGATACAAAACTCGTCAAATGCATCATTTTCATGTTCCAAAATTTGTCACATCAAGAGCGAAGTTTTGCCGACGACACAGAGGCGGAAAATTCTGGAGTCAGTTTTCACATCTGGTTTGTGACGCGGATCAGAGGCGTCGTTTAAAAAGAGTTTGAGGAAATGTTTGATATTTCATGTTAATGTTTGATCATCTTTTAATTGTGGATTTTTATTGTGTTTTAATCCATGTTTGAATCAAAATAATTTAATTCATGGTGTTTAAATATAATTGTTATATATATATACATTTTTATGCACAATGATAATGTAAAAGTTTTAATGTATTCATAAGGTGGAGGCTTTAATATTTCGCCCTATTGGGTTTTTTGTCTCTTCCGGCAACTTCTTTTTATCTAGTATGTTTCTTTTTATTGTCATGTTATATGTGCAAAAATAAATAAATAAATAAAAAATAAATGATGCAGAATCAGATGATTAGGCAAGGCAAGTTTATTTGTACAGCACAATTCGTACACAAAGTAATTCAAAGTGCTTTACAGAATAAGAAATACATTAAAATCATAATAAAAACAAATCAAAACATAAATAATCATGAAGATTCAAATTAAAATAAAAAAAAGAGAGACATAAATTGGAGAGAAGAGTGCGGAATGAAAACCTTTCAGTTATTTACACGCTCGCTGCGGTTGACGTCGTCGTGTCTCCAGTGTCACATGTGGGACACTTTTGGACCGTTTAATGTTCACACTGGAGTCACATACAAGTCACATTTAACTGGAAACGTGAACGACCTCGAAAACACATCAGATTTCACAAAAAAATCGGAATTGAGCGTTAAGTCCTGCAGTCTGAACGTAGACCAAAGTTAAACCAGTGAGTCCAGCACCAAAGCAGAGATCCACACTTCTGTCCTCTGCTTATTTCGATGTCCTAAAAGCGCCACCTGCTGGTCTCAGACGACGCTGCAGGAGTCAGTGTCTCTAAATACCGTCCGATACAAACGCAGTGTTCAGTTTCAACAGTGGAGAACAAACAAACTCCAGTATTTAAGCAGGTAAACAGGTGCTTCTCAGACTGCAGTTTCACCTCCTCCTCCTCCTCTTCTTCTTCTTTTTTTTCGTGGAATGGCCTCTGCGGCGCTCTCCTCGTGAGCAGAGCCGGTGTGAAAGCGCTGATTTGTGGAGGTGTTTGGCTCCTGCAGCCTTCATAAAACAGAGTTAGGAGTATTGACCGCGGCTCACAGCAGCAGGACCCGGGCTCTAACTGAAACACGTGAAGGGAGAGGATTAGAACACGAGGGATTTAAACACCAGGAACAGTCCGCAGGAGCCACCACGACGGCTTTTACACATGGACTTTACACGTGACAATACAGGAAAACATGGAAACACGACGGAACCACTGATCTTCTCACGCTTTTCCTCATTTTCAGCTTCATCTGATCCTCTTCTGTCCTCCTCTGACCCTCTGACCCTCTCCTCTGCTCGTCTGAACCTGTCCTCTGCTCTGACCCTCTCTTCTGATCTTCTTTGTTGCTCCTCTGACCTTCTCCTCTGTTCCTCTGACCTTCTCCTCTGCTCTTCTGACCTTCTCTTCTCCTCCATCTGGCCTGTTCCTCTGACCCTCTCCTCTCCTCTGACCCTCTCCTCTTCCTCTGACCTTCTCCTCTGCTCTTCTGACCTTCTCCTCTGCTCCTCTGTCCTTCTCCTCTGCTCCTCTGTCCTTCTCTCCTGCTCCTCTCTCCTTCTCCTCAGCTCCTCTGACCTTCTCCTCTGCTCCTCTGACCTTCTCCTCTGTTCCTCTGACCTTCTCCTTCGTGTATTTAACCCCGTGTTGTCGTTTCTCTCTCCTCAGCGACGGCAGCGTCTCCACCAAACAGATCGTGTTTCTGCAGAGACCCGTCCTGAGCCGGAAGAAGAGGGACACGAAGGTACTGACACCAAACCCAACTCCTGTGTCTGTGTGTGTCTGTGTCTGTGTGTGTGTGTGTGTGTGTGTGTGTCTGTGTGTGTGTGTCTGTGTGTGTGTGTGTGTGTGTGTGTGTGTGTCTGTGTAAACTGTGCAAAACCAAAATGCAATTTCAAAATACAGAACATTAAAACTATACTTCAGAATTTTCTCCATGGAAATGTTTGCTGAACTGGAGATTACAGTAAAACGAACATTTCCAGGTCAAATTTGTGGAGTTGCGAGTTCACTCACCGTAAAGATGAGGCAAAATGACCCAAAAAAATCTCATATTTTAGTTTATTTTGGTTAAAAGTTACATACTGTGGCTTTAAACAACCAACTTTGCACAAAACAGGACTTTGAAAAATAATAAAATGATAAACTGTCATATTTACATGATGTTTTTCTACCTCCAGTTTTCCCTCAAAGCTTTTAGATGTCGAACCGCTCACCCACTCACACCGGCGGGGACCAGGCGGGTGAAGTGTCTTGCCCAAGGACACAATAACAGCGTCTTTGTGTAATCGTGGTCGTCCTGTAGACAGTTTATGCGGCCGTCCTCTCAGTCTCCGGCGAGGCTCACGTGACGTTCAGATGTTTCTTTGCTCTCGGGCTTCGCAAAACCTGGAACAAATGAGCTCAGTTTACTTCTGTGCATCGTGAGGCCGATTTCTGATCTAATATTTGATCTGATGTTATTGTGACTCAACAAAGTGTCTAACTCTGCCCACAACTGTGTTTCAAATAGAGCTGCTGAACAGGGACGGACCTGAGGAATAAAGGGAGTGAGGAGGAGGACTAATGATGAGTTGTGTTATTCTCTGCAAACGCACTCGGGTCTCAGATATGACGTCACATCCACATTTCAAGCGTTTTATTATGTTTTTATTATGTTCCACGTGTCCGACTTGGAGAAAAACGTGGACGCCGCCCGTAAAGCTGTTATTGTTGTTGTTTATCTTCTGTAAGAGACTCGAGAGACGTTTAGTATCAACCGATTAAAACAAGTCTGATCAATAATGACCTCAACACAACAACGAGCACCACAAACACAGGCAGATACAGACGCAGTAAAGTACTGCAGTAATACAGACGCAGTAAAGTACTGCAGTAATACAGACGCGGTAAAGTACTGCAGTAATACAGACGCAGTAAAGTACTGCAGTAAAACAGACGCTGTAAAGTACTGCAGTAATACAGACGCGGTAAAGTACTGCAGTAATACGGACGCGGTAAAGTACTGCAGTAATACGGACGCAGTAAAGTACTGCAGTAATACGGACGCGGTAAAGTACTGCAGTAATACGGACGCGGTAAAGTACTGCAGTAATACAGACGCAGTAAAGTACTGCAGTAATACAGACGCAGTAAAGTACTGCAGTAATGCAGTAATACAGTAATACGACGCGGTAAAGTACTGCAGTAATACGGACGCGGTAAAGTACTGCAGTAATACGGACGCGGTAAAGTACTGCAGTGATACAGACGCAGTAAAGTACTGCAGTAATACGACGCGGTAAAGTACTGCAGTAATACAGACGCAGTAAAGTACTGCAGTAGTAATACAGACGCAGTAAAGTACTGCACTAAAGCAGTAATACAGTACCGGTAAAGTACTGCAGTAATACAGACGCGGTAAAGTACTGCAGTAATACGGACGCGGTAAAGTACTGCAGTAATACGGACGCGGTAAAGTACTGCAGTAATACAGACGCGTAAGAGTACTGCAGTAAACATAAAGTACAGTATACAGACAGTAAAGTACTGCAGTATACAGACGCAGTAAAGTACTGCAGTAATACAGACGCAGTAAAGTACTGCAGTAATACAGACGCAGTAAAGTACTGCAGTAATACAGACGCAGTAAAGTACTGCAGTGATACAGACGCAGTAAAGTACTGCAGTAATACAGACGCAGTAAAGTACTGCAGTAATACAGACGCAGTAAAGTACTGCAGTAATACAGACACAGTAAAGTACTGCAGTAATATAGAGTAACTGAAATTGTCATTTAAACCACCAAAGCATCAAACATAATGAAAACCGTTCATACAAGTGACACTGACACTAAATGAAGAATGGAAAAAACGAATAACGACCGTTTCCCGTTTACGTGACTTCTGTTACTGCGATGCCGGACTTTTACACTGCATACGGACTGAACCAGGACTGATCCGGGTCCAGGACCAGACCGGGACCAGAGCCGGACTCCGAGCTTTAACTCCGAGCCTCCACAAGGTCCGAGCCTCAGCTTCGAGCTCCAACCCGAGTGTGGAGTGACTGAATAATGAACTGTAAAGCTCTTTGGGAATCTTGAAAGGCGCTATATAAATGTTATCCACCAGACCGGGACCAGAGCGGGACTGAGACCGACTCCAGCGGTCCGAGCGGTTCGGTGTAATCGTCTGCGCGCTGGTTCTGTGCGGGGAAAGCGAGAATGTTCTGTGGACTACAGGTCCGGACGGGCTGCTCCGGTCGTCCGCGCTCAAGAACCGCAGCTGGTTCCAGGGTGGTGCAGCATCCGGACAGAAGCGTGAGTCCAGTTTGGTCCCGGCCTGGTCTCGGTCTCAGTTCCGGTCTCAGTCCCGCTCTGGTCGCGGTCTGGTCCTGGACCTGGATCAGTCCTGGTTCAGTCCGTATGCAGCGCAAAAGTCCGGTATCGCAGTCACGGACGTCACGTAAACGGGAAACGTCTGTTATCTGTTTTTTCCATTTTTCATTTAAACACAAAATCAAAAACTGAAAAAAACAAATCGTTTTCCGTTTTTTCATTTTAGTTTTGGAGCCAAATAATGAAGAAATCTGTTGTTTTTTTGTTTTCTTATTTTTGGTTTTATTACTTCCTCCTAACTCCCTCTCGCTCATCTGTCTCTTTCCAGAAGCTGATCTTCAAAACCAGAAATAAATCCAACAAAAACTGCATCAAAGACTCGGCCAAGAACAAGAAGAAGGGCAAGAAATCCGAGAAGGAACCCGAGGACGCGAAGCCGGCGGAAACGACCACCGACCCACCGGAGACAGCGGCAGTAGGGGACACTCACGAATGTAACGCAGGAGAACCCGGAGACGTGTCCAGAGACGGGGACGAGGACGGCGGGACACCAGCTGGAGCGGAGCAGCCGGAAACCAAAGAAGAAGAAGAAGAAGAAGAGCAGCAGGAGGAGGAGGAGAACGCGGAGAGGCCGGTGCTGGAGAACGGACTGGACACGGACCCGGACGACCGATCGACCGCCAGCAACGAGATTATTATTACGAAAGGGGCGGCCGCGACCAACCCGGGCGCGGCGGGAAGTCAGGGGTAGAGGAGAGGGTTCGGGAGGAGAGCGGCGGCGCCCCCTACCTCGTGAAGAAGCGCGGGACTTTCTCGGACGGTGTTCGTGTGTCAGTTTCGCTCTGGGTCTGTAGCGTCGAACTGCTGATGGAAAAAAAGACTCTCGTGTTTGATTGTATCACTGGTTCTACAGCCTGTGTCCTTAAAGAGGGGGTATTCTGCTTGAATATTTTAGATTTCTACCATGTTCTAAAGTTGTTCTCTCATCAAAAACACGCCTGAAGAGGTTTAAGAGTCATCTGTGCATGTTTGAGTAATCTAGTGATCTCTCCTCAGCCCTATTCTAACGCTCCTTACAGTTAGGTGTAAAGTTCCGTATGAATAAATTAGTGCTGTCAAAAATATCACGTTATTAACGAGTTAACGCAAAACAATTTTAAAGGTGTAAATTTTTTTTTTTTTTATCGTAAACTAGTTTTTTCATAAACTGTGTCCACTGCTGTAATGTTAAAAAAAACTTCAGGATCTGACTTTAAACAGGAAGCAAAACAATTAGTACGAAACTGAGAAGCCCCGTGTGTGCGCTGATGTTACTCAAACAAAGAAAACATGAAATAAAGTCGTAAACACACGGCGAATCTGCACTGACCTTCGATAAAAACTGTGACAGAGACAGAAGTTTTACAGACTCTTCAGGATGTTCTCACTCAGCGCTGTTTTTATCTCCATAAACTCGCAGAGGAGAGTTTCGCAGCAGGATTCACACGTGTCTCACTGTTTACACTAAATATGAATGTGTTAAAAACACCACAACGTGTGTGAATTTTAACACATCAGTGAGTTCTATTTGAGACAACACAACTTGAGTTAATTGTGACTTTGACTATTGATTGTGAATTGGCTGATGATGTTTACACATATTTTTGTGTTGTAGAAGTTAAATCATGTAACACATTATTTGCAGAAATTGACACAACGTGTGTTATTTGTCTTTCTACACATTCAAAGTGTAAGAAAACAACACATTCTTTCTTAGAGTGTAACACATATTTGTGCCGCTGGACTTATTTTCTCCACTGAAGCGTTGGTTCTGCTCCACATGTAAACAAACAGTGACGCCTCAGAACAGCAGCTGGACAAACACGTCACAAACACAGATGCAATAAAAAAAAAAATTTAAATTCAAGGAAGAAAAATGTGCGATTAATTTGTGATTAACCGTGAGTTAACTATGACATTCATGAGATTAATTGCAATTAAATATTTTAATTGACTGACAGCACTAAAATAAAAACACAAAAACATGATAAAAAACTGTGCTCAGCAACTCGACAAACCTGACGTGATGTGCAGGAGTTTCATTAGCGGGACGCGGCTGATCGTGTTGTGATAGTGCTCTGAAGGGGGAGTGACATCGAGAAAGAGAAACTTATAAAACATGTTTAAAAAAAAAAAATGGAACACGGTGATTTAAATGTTTTGTTTGAGCTGTTAATAACCCATAGAAGTAAAATACCCCCTCTTTAAACTCTATGTATTTTTATTATTTTTTATTTTCCAGATTTTATGAACAGTTGTTTGGTCGTCTTAACAAGGCCACTGATCCTCGGATGATTTTATTTGTTTTTTCTTTTCGACTCTGAGCCTAAAGATCTTAAAATGGGACTAAACACCTAAACTCAAACTCAAAACAACAGTATCAACATTTCGATCGAGTTCAGAAACACCTGTCTGTACGCAGGGCAGTTCTGTGTGATGTCACCAACTACTGAAAACTGACAGCACAAACTTAGATTTCGCCGTTTTTGACCACAGAGCTGCAAATGTTTTGAGTTTGCTCAGTTTGAACAGTGGAAAATGTTGTTAAAACACCAGATGCACAGTTTAATAGTGAAAAAGTGCAAAGTGCATCAACGGAAACGTGTTTAGTTTCACTTTGAGTCACAGGAACTTCAACATTCCTTTGAAAATATATATTTTAAAGAAATTATTTATGGATTTTGAGAAATAATTTTACCACACCAGGAAAACCAGACCGTAGACGGTTCTTGTGATAAATATAAAAGGTGCTGTGAGAACATTTTCTGCCACCTGCTCGTCTCTATAAACGTTTTAATGCCTGGATTATAATTTCCACCACACTTTTATTATATTACAGGTGTTTTTATTGCTCAAAAATACATAAAAACACTTTGTCTTCATGTTTAAAGAGTAACATTAACACCAGACTATGGGACTAGAGTGGTCCACAAAATAATGGTTTTTAAAAAAGCTTCAATTTTCTTTCCTCCCAATGTTTTATTTGAGTCTAACCCATAAAAAAAAAAGATATTCCATGTAAAATATCAGTCTGATTGGTTAATATGACAAGTTATAAAAGGTAAATAGTTTATTTAAATGAAAATTTGAATAATACAAAATATTAGAGATGTAACAATAAGCGAAATATCGTGATATTGTAAAGTTCTCACAATAATATCATGGAACATCACAATATATCGAATTACACGTTTTTTTGCTTAAATGAAGAGTTACGGTGCAGCAACAGCAAAAAAAAAAAAGACAGAGGGAACTACATAGACCATGATCCTTTGCTGCACTTTTAAGTCTTGGTTCTTTGGATTAAGTCTTGTCAAGGAATTTTAAGAGGAAAAAGTTGCATATTAACAGATTTGTCAGTTTTGCCTCCACAAAATATCGCAATAAATATCGTACCATGAGATGTATATCATGAAAATATCGTATATCGTTTGGATATTGTTACATCTCTAATCGTGAGCCTCACCACCGTATCATGAGCTTTCCTACAATATCGCAATAAATATCGTATCGTGAGACTTGGATATCGTTACAGCCCTACAAAATAAGATGCGATTCGGTTTTTTGCTTTTATTGCTGTTTTCTTCAGTGACTTCCACTCAATCTTTTCAATCCCATGATCCTTTCTGATTGTTTGGATTCTGCCAGAAGCTCATGACTTCTTCCCAAACGATGCTGGCACCACCGCAGTAGCTCAGTTGGTAGAGCGTTTGTCCATTGAGCTGAAGGATGGCAGTTTGAATCCCACGCTCGACGTAAACATCATTTGTTGAGCAGTCAGATCCGCCGTATAAAATGTGACCATGAACATGACGATGGAGAAACACACGGGGGCAGTTTTCTTCCAAGTATCTGCTCCTCTGACTTCAACATCAAATAGAGGCACTTTGCAGACGTCTTAAGAATCACAGTGGCCATTACCGGCTCATCAAATTCTGATCCCGTCACATCTCAGAAGCTCAGCAGGACCGGGCCTGTTTAATAGGCGAGGTTCAGCTGACGTCATTGTTATTAAAAGCCGGCGTTGCTGCTGGGAAATATTTTGGTCGGAGGCAAGAAACACGGTAGCGTCAAACACAGTGCGTAACCTCGCGTATTTCTCCCCGATAATGGTAAATTCCTGCTGCATTATCAGACGCACAAATAGAAACACGGAAGAAGGAAAATGTCTTTTTCATATTCTGAGGGAAAAGAACCGCTAACGGTGAATTAAACGACTTTCAAACATCCGCAGAGCAAACGTAGAAGATCCTAACAAACCGTGGACTCAACAAGTTCAACAACACATCGAGACTCTTGGAGGTTTTCATCTTTTCTGCTGTGAAAGGCCCAGGAGTTTCCACCAAGTCATTGTGGATATCATCCAAGTGAATATTTGTCCAGGTAGTTGGAGATTCCGACCAGAAATGTGGTTTGGTCCAGACTCTGTCGGGGTTGAAAAGGGTGATTTGTCGTCCGTCGATGTTTATGACCAATTTCTGGTCAAATGGTCTTGGGTCGTCTGTTATTAGGTTCTTTTTTTCTGACCCAGAGTGTTATTTCATACCTGACAGTTTGGACTGTTCACTAGCGTCTTCCTCAGAGTCACGTGATGTTGCTGTGACGTGTCTGATCAGCTGATTTAAACAGGTTTTGGAGCCGTCTTCCTACCGGTGGAGGCAGGACGACAGCGCCACCTGCAGTCCCACTTCCTCAGGACAGTATCCCAGGTAGGAAGGCAGCGCCAAAACCTGTTTAAATCAGCTGACCAGACACGTCACAGCAACATCACGTGACTCTGAGGAAGACGCTAGTGAACAGAACAAACTGTCAGGGATGAAATAACACTCTGGGTCAGAAAAAAAGAACCTAATAACATAGAATATTGGAAGACCAAATGAATCTAATTGGACTATGGTCTTGGGTCCTCTGCCGTCCATCGTGTTGAATTAATGTTTCTTGCCGCCGACCAAAATAATTCCCAGCATGCAACGCGCGCTTTTGTCAACAATGAAACTCGCCTGTACTTGGATGGAGACACTGGGAAAATCAGGAGCCACGGGAGGCGCCAGTCACAAAACTGTCCCCGTGTCCTTAGGCAAGACACTTCACCCACATGGCCTAGTATGAAAGTGGGAAGTGGTGGTGGTGGTCGGAAGGGCTGATGGTGCTAATTGGCTGGTAGCCGCGCTTCCGTCAGTCTGTCCCAGGGCAGCTGTGGCTACAATAGTAACTTACATCACCGGGTCTGGAGAGAAGGAATAACGCTCTGTAAAGCCTCTTTGTGACATACGTCTGTGAAAAAGCTCTATATAAATAAAATCTTACTTACTTACTGCGGCTCTCTGTAAAGGTAACTTAGAAGAGTTTCAGATTAAAAAGTTTCTCTTAAAAAAATAAAATAAAATCAAGTAAAATCCTGTGCAACCAAAGCCGTAAGGTCGCCAAAATACCAAGCTTGAGCTACACCTAAACATTTACCGATTAAGCTAAAAGTTATTATTTTCTCCATAGGTAGACTCATGTAAGACTTTGGGAGGTAAACTGTCTAGAACTTTGATTTTTTTGGACCACCCTACTCCGGGACATTAACGGCAACTCCATCTCCATAGAGACAAGCAGGTGGCCAGAGTTACAGAGTTTATCAAAAGTTAAAATCTGACCAAACGTCTGGCCCTTCAAATGTCGCTGGTGTTTAATATTTGTTTAAAATTCCATGTGGTTTCAGTCACTGAACCAAACTAGACTGAATGTAGCTCCCCTCCCGGACGACAGGGGGCGCTGATACTGTTACAGGCTCATGCGATCGGTGAATGTCCCTCACGTGTGTCCGGGATGTAGAGACGGTTTTGTTTTTGCGAAAGGCAATCGAAGAGCGAGAGGAGCTGTTTACGACGTTCTGTTAACGCTTTGGATTTTGAATGAGATTATTCTGCGATGAGATTAACAAAAAAAGGCAAATGTGAGAAAAAAAAAATGAGTCAGTTACTGTAAAATTTTACAACTACTGATATAAGAACATTTCTGAAGGAGAAAATTATGCATTATATTATTTTTTGGAACATTTACCCACATTATATCACTGTCAAAAACACACCTGCAGTTGTATTTTGCTTCGTTCACGTTTCTTTCATGAATTCTTTTTACCAAATGTTGCTCTGAGCCTCAGAATTTTTCCTGAATAGTTACGTCAAAGGTAGAAAGCACCAACGAAACAAAATCCCGTTTGTTAATGTAGAGGAGCAGAAGACAAACAGACTGAGCTGCACTTTCTTGTTCTTGTGGTTTTACAGAAACATCACGTCTTGGTCTTTGCAGTGGAAGGTGTTTCTTGGTGAACAGTTGGAGACTTTCACTTTGGCGTTGACTTTTTAAATTCATAACCGAGGTTGAGCGAAGGATCAGGATTTTGTTTTGTCGTGGCTCCACATACAAAATGTTCTCTGTAAACTCGGGATGATTTCTTAGTCAGACAAATGTTTCCTTTTTGGTTCTTCCTGTGGATCAATCCTGCCCATCACCTTCACCTTTCACTATTTTTCAATTCCGTTGGGAAGAGAAACAGTTTGAACGGAGGTTTGAGTCACACACATCTGATTCACTTTTGCATTTATGAAGTTCACAAACACATTTCTCGAGTCGTTTTCCGCTGTTTGGATCCAACAACCACAAACACCAAAACTAAAATATGACAATATCAGAACCAGAAACAAAAGTGATATGGTTCAAAAGACTTGAAAAGATCGACTTTGTCAATAGACACGTCCCACTGGGAAAACAAACATGGAGGTTTGATGATCACTTCCGATCCGAGATTCGTGATGCTCATGTCAGCAAAGAAACACCACTGAGGACGGGAGATTCACTCGCTCATGTGTCAGGACTTTATATTTCAGACCGAACATACACATCTGATTTTGACCTTTTCTCTTTTTTTTTTTGGAAGATGGAAGATTCACGTTTTTTGAAAGAAATCTCCAAACTTCTGATCCACAAATGTTGAACCTTCTCATTATTATTTTGGGATTGGTTTAAAGTTCTTTCAGCTGACAACAATCACTCTTTTGGTTTTGAATAATGGCTCGACTGTCTGAGGCTATTGTGAAAAAATAATTCCACTTTTGTTGATTTGTACGGACAGAGGAGATCAGAGGTTCCGTCCCCGTGCTCCGATCTTCTGTCTGTATTCTCAAGTGCTTTCTCTCTTGTGGTGCGAGGGGGGTGGAGGTTAGTCGTGTTCTCGTGTAGCTGTGACCAGTGTAGCCTTATCTCGCCGCGGCCCCTGCCCCGGCGTCCGCGGAGTGGGCGGAGCTGCGGTTGACGTGTGCGCCGTGTTTGTCAGTGGTGGTTCTCGATAGTTGTGTTCTATGTTTTACACCGGGGACGTCGGCCGCGTGAAAAGGCGTCTCCGGGCTCATCCTGTGACAGTTGTTTCAGTGCTCAGATAGTTTCGCTGTGGGATTCTGTTGTGCTGCGGTCGTGTGCGTCGGAGCAGTTTGGTCACTACCGGATTTGTTAAACGCTGTCGTCTTTAGGGTTGGGCGGTATCCACATTTTATATCGTTAAACCTTCTCAGCATTTTATCAGGGTATACAGTATTACCTAGTCAGGCAGGTGCCACCTAGTGCCTCCGCTCAGTTTCATTTCTCTCCAGCGAACAGGTCTGGAGTCAGAAAACACCAGAATGACCAGGAGAGTCAAACTCATTTTGTTCTGGGGGTCGTGTCCAACCGACTTTGATCCAAAGTGTCTGGATCAGAAAACTCATGACATATAAACCCCAAAAATAACAATAAGTTCAAATATTTGTGCAGAGAAACACAAATCTATTACAGAAATCTTTTTTAATTGATGAACTCTTTCTTTTACTAAATATTATAATATTATGAACAACCTGAAACTTTAAGAAAAATACAATTTCAACACAAAGTTTTAACTTGTTTGCAAATAGGAATAAGTTCATTTTTGTTGTAAAATCCTGCACTCGGCTCCACTTTTCTCATGTTGGACATTTTTCTGATGAGGGTGTCACGGTCAACAGTCAAAACGATCGTCCTTTAAGAGCGTTTGGAAAGAGACAAGTCTTCATTTGTGCTGCTCTGGTGGGAGGGGCCACGTACAGAGACGCTGGAGACGCTGCTGTGATAAACACCACAGAAAATTACTAATACTTTAATAGAAAATATAATTAAAATATTTTAGTAGAAAATTTGCCAAGGGCCACATTAAAGGTCTTGGAGGGCCGGATCTGGCCCCTGGGCCGCATGTTTGACACCCGTGCACTAGACGATTTGAAAGAACCAGAAGTTGTAGAGACACACCGGCCAATCAGAGAAGAGCTGTGAAGCCATGACGTCAAACATGTGGCGTCTGTGTCCCTTTGGTGGAACAGAACAACAGTAAACAAAACGTGGAGATGGACGGAGACGAAGACAAACATTCTGTGTTGACAACGATTCCCCAGATCCCGAGGATTTAAACCCGGAACAAAGAGAATGTTTGTTGAATTTTATTATGAGGAAAGACGTTATTGTTCTTCTTCCTACAGGATTTGGTGCATTACAAACGTCACGACCAAACAGCAGCAACTGGTTAAATAAAAAAAGTCCCGCCTACTGTCGAATGAACGAATCCTAATGTTGCGAGGTCACACAGTTTACACCAAGTGAAACCAGCTGATGAATCAGGATACTGTCATTCGGCCTGAAGCCAAAATGCTGCCAAACTGCAGAAGTACTAGTATTTTTTTAATACCGTGGGATACTGTATTACCGCCCAACCCCAGTCGTCACGGTGTTTAACGTTGTGTTTTCGCTGTTTTGCTCCTCAAACGTTCGTTGTTCTGTCCAGGGGCTCAGTGTTTCATGATGTCGATCAGTTCAAATCTGGGAACCTGGAGCTCCATTTTTTCTCCATTTCTCAGAATCTTTCACAGACTCTTGAGCACAAAGTCCAGATCATCGTGTGTTCACTTTTAGTCGCGTTCAGTTGAGAACAGCTCTGTCCAGACGACCCGAGAGCAGCCAATCAGAGCTCTGCTTCTGCTGTTTAATGACGGTTTGAGGAGAAATAAATACTTGCTGTATAATCAGCTGCAGACCGAGTGACCAGATTTTCAAAATAAGAAACTGGGACTCTTCTGGTTTGGGGTGATTGGTGATAATAAAAATGTGAATCGAGTGTTGGAGTCTCGGCCTCGATACCACTTTTTTACGATCTTGGTCTCGAGCTCATTTGGACTCAGTCTGTCTCAGTCTAGAAGGAGTTTGGTTTTGGTCTCGTCTCGGACTCGAGGTTTGACACTCGACGAATGTGATCATGTTTCTTAAATATCACCACAAAACCAGAGAAATATTACTGAAACTGTAGAAACTGTAAAATTCATTTTGCAAAAATAAGGCAGAACACATCACACATTTTGTCTGTGTTCAAACCCTCACGTTCTCCTCGGGGTCACATTGACCCGAAGAAAACTTTTTTCCCTTCCCGCTCTCTTGGGGCGGGTCAATCAGACCCAAA